TGTCCCCCCCCACTCCGAGGTTCGAGCCTGCCACCAGCACCCAACTTTGGTGGTAGGCAACTTTAATTTCGTCCGGTTCATACCACGCCTGAGCTAGCGGGGCCTTATGTGATTCACCACTCCAAGCCCCTGGGCTCAGGTTGCCGGTTACCATCGTTGAACAGCAGGTCTTCGTGACCATGGGATCCGCCCGATTACTATTTATCATACACACATTGGTGTGTAATAAAAAAAGCTAACGGGACAGCAGCGTTGAGCATTCGGCTGCGGGTGATAGAACATTATCGCCCTGATCGCACAGATAGTTCGAAAGAGAAACTCCTCCCAGCTGACCATGCCCATCGCTTGAAAGGATTGAGAAAGGTGTGGAGTGATGCAAAATGAGAACAATTGAATGTGTCCGCAGGAAACTCACCGAAATTCTGTCCCAAAGCAGACTGGACTGCTTGATCTGTGGCTTCCAACGAGTGCTCACGCCATGTCTCAGCATTGTCGCTGCGGAGCACAACTAGTTCCCGTTGTCGACCACGCAGCGATGCAAAGTGTGGAATCTCCAATATCACCGGCGTATTGAATGTGCACGGATGGGGTCCCAGTTCAATGATGCTGTGTGATGAGTGAGGTGGGAACACAAGAGAAATCAAGTTCCTTAAGTATACTCAGTCCAATATTATTATTATTAATATTATTGTATGCTCATCTGTCAACTTGTCGTAGATAAACGTACCCGACCTGAAAAATAAGTCAGATAAATATCCATGGTTATCGTCGGTTGTANTGGAGCAGTGGTTTAGTCACTGTCACAGGCGTGCTTTGAACCCTATGGTTTGAGGTTCGAGCCCCGTCACCGCCACTCACCTTTGGAGGTAGACAGGTTTGCTTTCATCCGGTTCAATACCACGCCTAACCTAGCGAAGCCTTATGTAATTCCCCAATCCAAGTCCCGGGGCCCAGGTTAACGGATTCATCACTGCACAGTAGGTCTTCGTGACTATTGGGTTCGCCCCATCTGCTGTTCATCACACTAAAATCTGTGTAATAAAAAAACTCTTGGATCGTCCATACCTTACCGAGGACCAACGTGACATGTGTTTAGCAACGACTGCATAACGGCTGACCGATCTTTGACGAACAAATTTAGTTTGAATGGTATGAAGTACGAATAAAGCTAACCAGAAACACGCTTTAGATGAGGACCACATTTGGAACAAATCTGTGCTAAGAATGACTGCTCATTTCTAGCCTATTCTCGACAAAACTAGTGCGCTTAGTTTCAGTGAACATTCAAGGTAATGGCAAATTATGTCTATGCAGTTCGATATAATATATATATATATATAGATATTCGATATAAATGAGAGGAGATACCTGATTTTACGTTACGAAACCAGTATTACTACTTTTTTGCATTAACTCCCTTGTGTGGACGCCTCCAGATCTAATAGGGGAGCGGGGAGGGGGAAAGATGAGTCCCTGTCAGGAAACCTCGGGTGTCGCCTCGAGTTTACCCGTGAATCGTATCAGCAAATGATAAAGAACTCGGACTACTTTCGAGAGTCAATTTCTGAAGTTGTTGTTGCACGATTGTATCGCTACGTCCACTCGGAGAATGATACCGATTAGGCCAAGATTGCTCTCCGACCATCCTACTGGATGATTTGACTGACTAACGGGAAACAATGCTGCGTAGAAAACTCAACTGTTGAAACTGGATAAAATAGGAAAGCACGACTCCAAATCACAAGAAAAATCACCGCCCCTCCCCCTCCCCCTCGGAAGCCCTCGAGTATCTGGATGAGAGCCGGCCGGTTTAAAGCAATTTGCGTTATTTTCGCACTCCATCGCGGTAATTCACATCTTCATGAACTCCTTTGTTCTCTTCTTATTCTATCCGGTCTGAAGAAAATGCTGTTTGCAAATTATTCGAGGGTGAAGCCACCAGTTGTCGCTTTATGGGATCGAATTCTTCACGTGTTTCCCGAAAACTCAAACCAAATAAACATGATCACCGTCTATTTTAAGCTCATCTTGCAAAAAACTGAAACTCATTTTTCGCAACCTGTGAAAGGTCAAAACAGATACTGGTTGATTCCCGTTCGCCAAATGCACACACACACACACACACAATGTATATAGGGGGGGGAGGCTGAATGGGTTCATGAGATCGGGATATCTGTGCTGTCAGAGGCATCACAACAGTATTTTCTATACTCAGCCGTGTTTCCAATCAGCTGGGGATAGACGCACTGACTCGCATTCCGTTCACATAGCCCAAATCAGCGAAGGGTAACCGAATTCCAGAAGATACTCAAGTTATCACGATCGTCGCTAGGTCCATTTGCATCAAGCTTTCTTCATTCGGGTGACTATGATCACATAGTGATGCAGTCATGATCGCAATGGACCAAACGGATTTCGGAATGCACACACACACACACACACACACACACACACACACACACACACACACACNCTCATATTGTATACAAGGTAAGTGAGAATGTGTAAGGAGAATCGGGATTGAACTAACTTTTAGGGACGGGAAAAGAAAGTAAACCTCTACGGTTAACTCACAGAGTACACAGTACAACTGTGCTACTATTTCAAGCATTCTGGTCTGATATGAAGTGACAGCAAGATTGCCATTGTTGTCGGTTCGCTGCCATAACCTTCAGTGTCGCCAACCATCCGGTTTCGGTGTCTTTTGAACCCCACGCCGGAGGACGAGAGGCACTTACTCTACCTAATTGCTCTGCGCATTTCTTCATGCCTCGTTTCCACGTCATCTGCCGGCCTCCACGTGGCTTTCTCCAGCCTACAACAGCCAGTGCGAATAAGGTACGTGCGGCAGGCGATCGTCGGACATAAGCAAAACGTGTCCTAACCAACGGAGCCTATTGGGCTGAATTCGATGAGATAGTGAGTTTTTGTTCCACGCGTTCCCAAACACCCGACGACTTAGAGTATCAAGCTTGGATTAGCCCCTTCAATTGTTCAGAGGCACCAGGCATTCGTGGTGGTCTTCGGTGTGGGTTTCACTCCTTGGGAGATCGTTAATTCCCCACCGTTTGTATGCATTTAAAATGCGATGGAAATGTTTGTGATAATCAACGAAGAGGGGTAAGGATTTGAAGTCCCGACCCGACTGACCGCGGTTCGAGTCCTAACAGGGACACAAAAAGTCCGCACTGCTGACGAGTCCCAAACTCGACAAATTACTTCTAGATTTCCAACTCGCTCACTCCATCCTACTTGGACTAGACTACGTAAGCAGTGATTGTCGAAAACCACTAGGCACGGATGTCTTCTACCCGCAAATTCAGTCTCACAACCGTAAAGGGAGACCTCGGTGGTTCGGCGACCGAAGTGCGTGAGTCACGATCGTCAGTGTGTGTGTGCTCATTCGCTATTGTGATTTGACCGAAATGTGCTCCATTGACCTCGACCTGTCCGTGATACAACCACGTGCAGAATACTGATTGATTGGGTACATTTTGGGCGGGGGGTTTCAGACACTACACTGGACATGCGGAAACGGTCGCGATCGTAACCACGCCTTCCCTGGCACTGGCCCAAATAGACACATCCATCACTCAATGTTCTGAGTAGATGAACAAATTTTGCAAATGATAGAAATTTCACAGCAAACTCGACTAGGGGGAAATGCTTAGGTCACTGACAATAAAGGTTCTCTGTTCTACTCACCACACGAGTGATCACACATGCACACGCAACATTTTGTCCAAAAATTCACCGTTCAACTTCAGTTTTGCGATATAAGATGACCAACCGAAAATCGATTAACCTAACTAACATCCCATTGGACGAATACTGCCTACCTACCTACAGGACAAGGTCATCCAAGAGAGATGCAAAACGGGAGAGGAAAATTACACATTCGCCTATCAGTTCAGTCTCAGTTCTTACAACTATTAACCATGCACTTTCGTGAGCCAGTTTTGGTTGCTGCCTTTTGACTGCCCATGTGGATAAATCAGCAAAATGAAGATTATAATGTCAAGAGCTGATTCAAGCGAAAGATGGCGAAGTTATATAGACTGAAGTTACAAAATTAATGAGTAGATGTATGAGTGCCACTGTTTGCTACACGCAGTCATATCACTCAGTGTCTCGAACCATCGGTGACCATGATCTCTGGGTCCCCAGTCAGGGAGCCTAACGGGACCTATGTGAGCCAGTCTCCTGGTTAGCGTTTTCATACCTTCATGCCAGGTCTTAGATTGACCGCCCTTCATTTTTTCCAGCCACTACCTGCCTCGGCAAGCATCGCTCGCCGTGGCAACCTAACTGGTGACATTCGTAACACATGTCCCTATGGACACTTGAATAAATGAGCAAATTTCATACGAGACAAAAGCCATGAATGAAGGGATAACAAGGAGGGTAGGCGAGTAAATGATCAGCCACAATCCTTCTCCCATATGAAATTGGTATGCGAGAAAAGTAGTTGAATGAGACTGAAACTGTCTCCGACAGTCCGTTTTTGTGGGCTGAAGGAGTTGATATCACAATCTAATACACAAGTGTTCTCCCAAGCCTGGATTATAAATGACCTGTAACATCATCTGGATTCTCAAACAAGATTTTAAAATTATACGGCGTGATCTTATGAGTATCAGACGCGTTTCCTTCATTCCCATCAAGGAATTGGTTTGTGAGGTCACGGATGATCACACTGAGACTTGCACAAGGATTTGCCGAGAAAATACCCATCCATTGCACTTCTATCTGTATTCCTGCCACTCCCGCATAAGGGACACGTTCTGATTTCCAGTATACCTTACCTCCTTCACTGACAAAAATGGGAATTTTACTGCTCTGCGTTTAGCTCGCATGTCAAAGATCAGATCGGATATCACTTCTAGAAACCCGATGTGATGGTTCAGTGCGATTGTTCTTAATTGAAACGGAACTGCGTGTGTTCGCAAAAATTAAGCAACAACAACAACAATAACAGAACAATATACCTAAAACGAAGAACCACAACTCCGGTAGGATGAAGGAACAGCACGGATGCAAGATTTCAAACAGGAATGGCCATGAAACGTCCACACGTAAGTCAAACTATGATAAACAAACAGTTTTACTCAAATAACCGATTGAACAAATACTACCTGGTATGTTCCCCCTTGTTAGACGGTGGTACCTCACCCGAGTTGTTTCCAGCTATTGTTCACTTCTGTTACCACTGTATAACGAGGTGAATACATTTAGAAGGGTTGTTATACCTTTTTGGGGCTATCTGCTAAGATGCTTCTAGCGAGGTTTGACTGTGTTATAGAATAAACCATAGCATAATCAATTTTCAGGAAGAGGGCGTCGGCACACGAGCACATGAAAAAGTGGGAAAGATAGACAAAGGGATTGGGATTCAAACACACAAAACCTGCGATTCGCGATGAAGATACCCTTTACCATAAATACCGACGTCAGTGGGTATATCATTACCCAATGCCTAGTTGTCTAGGTTCGAGCAGTTGAATGTGCAGTAGACTCATTGTTCAACAGAGTGAGAGTACAACTTGTATACTGATGGTGAGAGTGCACAAATGCTGTGCAAGCGCTTATCCATATGTCAATCAAAAGCTTAGTGCAACCATTTGTTGTTGAATGTGGTCTTGATTTTATGCAGACTGTGTGTGTGTGTGTGTGTGTGTGTGTGTGTG